GGTCTTAAAATAATTGAGAAGAATTTGCTACCTTTCTATAACATCAAGAAATGGTTAGATATTCTAGTCTTCTCGGATAGGGACGAATAAATGGAGGTCCCGTCTCCTGCAGGGTTGGGGTAGGAGACGTTAATTTCCCACACACGAGATTACTGTGTGATGGATGTCCTCCCCTGGGGTGGGATGGGTGGGAAGGTGAGATCGATAGACTGAAGCGGCTGCCAGAGGCGCCTGATATGCTGACGTCTGTTCTCAACCTCACACTGCACCCGTAATTCAGCCTCTGGGCTGCAAGTGGTCAGATATAAAACTATATTTTAACTTGATCAACAGAATATCAAACAATAGTAATTTTCGCTACACTTTTGCAGAGAATTAACAACAACAAGATCATCATCGCAAACAAATGGACAGCGGGCCAAAAGTTGACTGATCGATCCTTTCTGACCGATGAGATGACAGCTTTCTGTGCGGAATTATCCATATATTACGTGAAACAGTTGGAGGATACCATGACATTGTCCAAGATTCAAACAAACGGTGAGAGAGTTTCTTTAATAAGATAATGCCTGTAATAACTGTCTGTCTAACTGAATAACTGTAATAACTGGGGGTCTCTCCACAACTGAATTTCTCCTTGGTTTGAGACTGGTGCAACTGATTTGAGTTATACGGACAAGAAATTCCCACCACATTCCTACCAATATAATTTCGACAGATTCTTAACTGTGTGCTTACTTTTCAAACAGGTAGAAAAAATCGAAAACGACGACAGTTTGTCTCACTCGACGAGAATGTGTACAATGCTGGAATAGCCAATCCTTCAATACAAGACCCTGTAAGTTTTACAAACTGCATAAACTCAACGAGTATCTGGTTTATGAAATGCAGAATAGCTGGACGTACTTGTTATGAAATATTGGTGTGCTCACCATTAGACAACTGTAATCAACTGCACCTAATTAACACTGTGTTTTGCTGCGAATACGTTTGTGAGAAACTGCCTACTGTAGAGGGCTAAGCTGTCTTTTAAGTCGACAGAGCTGAATAACGTATGCGCATGCGGTAAGTTTGCCGCGGAAAACAGATTTTGAGCCGTTTGCATGGTTGATTTGCTAATCTGTTTCTTTGAGGCCTTGTTTCATTTACAGAACAACTTCCAAAAACTTTGTATACCCCCTAAAAAGTTTGGAAAATTAATTTTCTCCTTAAACTCTGGAAATAGGAAAATGCCTTTGACGACAACAAAATGCCTAGGTTTTAAATATCAGCCTTAATTATCTTCCGCTAATTTGGCTAGATTTTGGGCCTCACACGCTTGAACCGGCGTTCTCAACCGCATACTCTCTGACGTAGTATTTCGTTATTCAGCCCTGTCTTTTAAGTTTGTTTTAAAAACGTTACACTTCCTCATACAAACTCCTATATTTACGATAAAGCAAGTCTTAATTTCTTTGGGCTTTGTTAATTCTAGTTGTTTAACTTTTAAGCTAGCCATTTGCATGCCACCTGCTTTTGGGTCATGTATGCAGAAGTAGCCAAAAATACTTAATTTCAAACCTTGTGTATGGAGAAAAATAAAGTTCTTTACGTGTTTTAGACGCTACTCGTAGACTAAACTCTTACTTTAGAGATTGGGGGAAGTATTTTTTATCTTAGTATCCTGGGGTGCTTCAGCAAAGACCCTCAATTAATGGTAACAGCGCGATAAGATATAAAATTGTCGTCTCTATCAGGGAGACATGGCCTGAGGTTGTAAGCTTGAGAACCAACCACTAATTGGAAATTTCAAATAACTGGGTAAGGTAAGGCAGCTTTTACCGTTTCACCAAATTGTAGATCCACACTCAACAGGACATTTTTTTTAAACAACTTGACTGGCTAATTTACCTTATAGTCCTGAGTTTTCATTTTAAAATTCACATTCATCGGAATATCCAATTGTGTGACGGTTGGAAGCCCGTTCTCAGTTTTCATAGCTCTTCCGCATATACGTACCACAGAGACGCAATCATTTAAGTTTTGACGGTTGGTATTAAACTTAAACCTACTATATGACCCTACATGTTGTATTTACTTAACCAGAATATTTAGTTCGCATTCAGCCGTAAATTTCTTACAACAAACTCCCCATTACTGTTCATTTAATACGCTGCAACACAACTTCTCCCAGCAGGAGAGCTGTTCTGTGAAAAACACAGAACCCAAAGTTATGATTTACTTCTCCTGTGCCTATTTTTGCAACAATTTTTTATCAGTTTGAAATGTTTTCTGGTCTCTCTTGTTTCAGCGTGGGAACTATATTCCTTTCTTGTAGGTCTTCTCAATATCCTCCAGCTATTTCTAGTTCGCTTTCTCGTCTTTATCACTCCTTTGACGGGCTTCCCCCAGTTACGGACCATTGGATATGAAGATCTAAAATGACGTGCTGTATTGGCGCAAAAGTAAAACATACTCTGGCGAGAATTACCGTACAATTTCGCTGAAATCCATAATTAAACACTAAGAAGTAACTTAGCATTAAGAAAAGTATACAATAAAGCAGAGCTGCAGTTTAGATCACCTACAGTCAAGAAGTAAGGAGCGACAAGAAGATAAAAAAGAAGAAATCGTGGAAAGGGTGACATCAGCTACGTTAGATGAAAGTAAATAGGAATTGGACATATTCTTGTTAAAATTCAAACACCCTAGGTGCGTTAGATACTTGCACAACGCAGGCATCACTATATCTTACCTTAATGAATACATACATACATACATACATACATGCATATACTTTATTTAATCTCGAATTTGGAGTTGCTAAAGAATAAGCTAGTATCTTCGAGTTACAAGTATAATTCTAAATACTATTAAACTGTAAAATGTAAAATTGTAGCATTCTAAAATTTAACTATGAGAAAGAGTCAATCTGTAGAATCTTGCGCTTACAATCAGAAAATTCAGACGTTCTAAAAGAGTCCGGAAGAGAGTTCCATAGTTTTGAAGCCATATATGAAAAGGAGTGAAGATCATTAGTAGTAGTTTTTGTAGGCGGTAGAGACAAAATATAATGAGTGCAATAAAAGAAGC